GAGAGAGAGAGAGAGAGAGAGAGAGAGAGAGAGAGAGAGAGAGAGAGAGAGAGAGAGAGAGAGAGAGAGAGATGATAGATTGATGATAGATTGATAGACTGATAGATTGATGATGAGGTTGATAGGTTGATAGATTGATTTTGGGGTCCTGCTACACATTAATCAAGAAATCACTACAGGTAGTCCTTGACTTACAATCACAGTGAGCCCAAAACCTCCGTTGCTAAGCAAGACAATTGTTACATGAGTTTCGCTCCCATGTTACTTCTTTTCTTGAGATGAGTGAATCACTGCAGTGGTTAATTAAGCCACATGGTTGTTAAGCAAAACTGTCTTCCCCATTGACTTTGCTTTTCAGAAGGTTGCAAAAGGTGATGATATGACTCCAGAACACTGCAACGCTCAAAAATTCTTGTCAGTTGCCAAGCATCTGAACTTTGGTCAGTGACCACAGGGATGCTGCAACAGTTGTAAGTGTGAAATGCAGTCATAAGTCACTTATTTCAATGCTGTTGTAACTTCATTCACGAAACTAATGGTTGTGAGTTGAGGACTACCTCTTTCTGATGACAATGATGAACTTAGTGCAAATAAGGCAGTTTGGGAAACTAACTCTTGCTCCCTGTTGCTGGATATCTTGCTTCAGAGTTCTTGTCTAATTTGATTCTATACCCAATTGTGATTTTGTTTTTATTCATTATACAATGTTATATTTATTAAATGAAGAGGGTAAAGGAAGGTCACCTCTGATCCTATGATCAGATATTAGATACTAGTACTAGTCTAGATACTTTTTTTAAAAGATGGGATGTCATAATTTTACTATGATTGGCAAGAATCAGAGAGTGGGCCTTATGGATCCTGGTCGGGTCTCCACTTTCCACTCATAATCTGAGCACAAATACAATGCATATGTAGCAGACTCCTTTCAGAGCTACAAGAGTCCTTGTGCATTGTGCTTCCCCCCTAAAGTGTTGCTAGGAGACACTAAGGCAGATTTGCAGGTAGTTTGCAAGTGATGGACCGGCTGCTTTGTACCCCTCCTGGCGCTTCCTGCACTCTTCCAACTGTGCCAACGCAAGTCCTTCACTTGTTCCAAAAGGCTCTCGCTGGAAATATGTGCAGCTGCTGGGGGACGAGCTGGACCTTCGTCACGTCACCTGGAGACTCCCAGTAGAACTGATCCCTCGTTACTCGGACAGCAGTTGCTTTTCCTCGGACACAGAGTGTCTCCTCCATGAGGGTAGTACCCCCTCTGAGCTAGTGGACAGTGATGCAACCAGCGGCAGCCTACCAAGGAGTGGGACTTCCCAGCCCCAAGCAGGTGAAGGATGGCCACCTTCTTCCCTCCCAGTAACCATGATGTCTCATCCTACTCCAGGGCCCTGGAATATAATTTATTCACGCTACCCCTCTACAAGCTACAAGGACATGTTAATAGCATGGGGCATTTAGCATTTGTAATGGAATCTGCTTATGATTGGTTATTTAGTACCAAAGTCAGGGCTATACTAGGCATGGAATTGAATGAAGCAGAATGGAAGTGCAAAAAGAGAGAATTCTTGTGGAACACATGTTGCATATTTCTGCCCTTCATGCAGCTCACAAGCTAATTTCAAAAATCCTCTGTAAACCATCAATTCAGACATCTGAGTTCCTTTCCTACCAGGTACTTGGTAGAAGATGTGGGAGGGAGAGGGAAATGGTGGTCAAAAAGATAGACCCATTATTTCCTTCAGCCTTTTCCATTGCTGGCATTCATTCCCCCAATCCATTATACCTGAAGGAAACTGTCCCCTCTGCAATATTTAGAAGCCCCCACCTCCCATTTGGAATCTTGTTAGCATAGGACAACAGTGTTACCTGCTACAAAAAACCTCATAACTTTGATTTTCTTCAGTATGCTAAACTTGGTGAACTTTCACCATCCTGGTATGTTCCAGCTGCTTCACGTGACAGCTACTCCTTCATGGAACCTGTTGCACTAAATATCTGAACAATGCCAAATAGGGGATATTACGTTGTGTAATCAACCAATGATTCCAACAGCTGTTTAAAAATTCAGAACATTCTGAGAGCTGTTGAGACAGAACTAATGCCTGCCCCTGAGCATTTTCTGTAATTCATTTAAGAATGTCTCTTCATCTTGACCTCATTATTTCCAATAGTGGTTAACAGCGTTAACAGAGAACTCAGAAAACAGAAAAAAGAGATGACCAGCCAGAGTGTTTGTTATTAATATCTGGTTCTAGTATATATAATGCCTCTGAATATGAAGGATCTCTAACTATTTGAACAGACATTTGAATATATTAGTCTTACAGGAACTTAATGAATGCTTTAAAACATTTTCTTTTTCAAAAAATATAGCATTACTTGAATATCATGTCCTTTAGTATTTGGTACATCATTTGGCATTCATGAAGCCATCTTCTGAACTAACCAACCCTTGCTCTTTTTTTATTGGTCCTTTCAGTCTGTTTAATTCTGATATTGATGTTTTGTTGTGCATTGTAGGTTTAAGTGATATGACATAAGGGATGTTGGTTCTTATGTAGCCCCAGAATGCACTTTATAGATCAGAAGCAGAATAAAGCCGAGGTCAATGTTTCCCAAACTGATGCTCTTCAGGTGCCTTCAGCTTTGAATCCAATTAATCTGCAACCAACATATCTGGTTGGAAAAAAATACAACTGAAATCAATATATTGGAGGCACTTGGTTACATTTTAATACTAGAAACTTTGAGTTCACATATCTTATTGAGCTATTTCTTTAATTTAAACATGGATTGGTTAATGTAGCCACAGTTGGCTGATTTCATACAGCATACTGACATAAACCTTGATATATGAACCATAGTGTTTGGGTTCACTAAGTAAAAAATTAAACCACATTATGACTTAGCACAGACCGTGAGCCCAGGTATTCTAAGATATATTTATTATCAGATCTCATATTAATTAACTTGCTTGAGATGCATATCCATGGTTATGGATGTTAACTGCAGCAAATTGAATAATTTCCAGAACACTTGATGAATGGCCGACTGGATTTTGCCTTCCCTGCTGGTAGTGGAAGTTTAACCCGAAATCATCTAAGTCCACGTGTATATCACGAGAGAAGAGTGATCGGAAACTCATCGCTAACAAGAGAATATACCTCAGTGTCGGGACATGGTAGGTAACTAATGTGCGCTAATCTGTTAGTGATTTGAGAATAATCAGTGTTCTATCTGAAGGAGATTCCAGTTAGTTGAACTCTTTTTCTCTCACTTGATCTCTCATGCCAGTTAGCATTAGACAGGAAGAAAATATTCCTTCTTCCTCCAGCTATTCCATCAGCCACTGTGCCTGGTGTTGGTGCTGCAATCTTTTCTGGTACTCTCAATGGTGTGTCTTTCTTTCTCTCTGTTTTGGCATGTCCTTTAGACCCTTCCAAGAATGTTTTCTCTCCCACATACGAAGAAACTAGAAGGATACCCCAGATCCCGCAGGATGCGGGTTTTAGGAGGGCAAATGTGATGGGTTACTCTGACAGCAATGATGCTCGGGATTCTATAGTCATGACTGATGGGCCTTCTTGGATTTCCAAGTACTTAGGTATAGCAAATGGCATGGCTGATCAACTGCAAGACTGTTTGCTCCAGTGACTCATCTCATAAACTGCTAATTTATTCCTGTTAAGTTCCTTCAAGTGGCTTTGCTTGTAGATCTGCTTGTGTGCTTGTGCTAATTTGCTCTGCCTTCTAACCTTCCATCTCTTTCCCTTTGATAGCTTTCATGTTTTAACTACATCACTTCAGTTATTATATTACACGCTCAAAGGAATTAGTGCTCAGGCAGTATCCTTAACAATCTGCAATTCTTCTGTCTCCATGTCCATCTCCCCAAGTCGAAACAGGCAAATATTACACTATGTTCCTTTTAAAACATATTTACATAGTTTAAGGTGTTTATTATAGCTCACAACCTTATAATTACAGCTATTTCCTCTGGTTTTGAAACTACATTGTCCTCTATAGAAAGGAAAGCACCTTGCTTGCATCCAAAACAAACATTTGGAAGAGAGGGAAACTTCTTATTCTACAAAAGGAAGGGGTTGTCTGGCCAAATGAATCTATTCTTTTAAGGAGTAAGCAAAATGCTTTAGGAGCTTTTTCCCTCCTGACTTCTCTGCCTAAATGCAAAAAGATGAACAAAAGTCAGTGGGTTGGCTCAAGCTGCATGGAAAGCAATTCTATGTCTCCTAATGGAGGTACCCTAGGAATTGCTACAATTCAGATAATAATTCCTATATAAGGTTGTCTTCCACTTCTCAAGGGTACAAAACAACCACCATTATAACTATATTTAATTGTTATTTTCCCATTCTGAATAGCATTATGGAAAAAAAAAGAAAAAAAAAGAAAAAAAAAGAAAAAAAAAGAAAAAAAAAGAAAAAAAAAGAAAAAAAAGAAAAAGCAGGAGTCATTTACAATGCAAGAGTTGTAAAAGCCACTTTGTAGGATAGACTGGCAGAAGACTACATCCATAAACATGTCCACAAAAATCAACTAGCAGTAAAAAGCAGTAATCTCGTAACACATAGCAAAACTCAGCAAGTTTCAACTGGGAAGCTATTAACATCATAAACTAAGCCAAATTGAAAAATGCTACGGAATTCCTAGGATGCTCAGACAAATAGACTTACAGAAATAAACCATATTTACACACTATTCAAAAAAAGGCAATAAAAAACCTAGGCAGGAAACAAAAAGATTAGAACACATACTCTCCAACAGCCCATATTCAGATAAGCAGGGATCAACACAAGACAAACAATCAGGCAGAAAATGGTATTCTAATCAAGTAATCACCAAGAAGGAAGAGCCGAGGTGGCGCAGTGGTTAGGGTGCAGTACTGCAGGCCACTTCAGCTGACTGTTATCTGCAGTTCAGCGCTTCTAATCTCACCGGC